GGGACCAAATCCTGGTCAAAACGACCAAATCTCCCCGGGGCCGTTCCCAACTCACCGCCTTCTTCATGGTGGCGGCCATGTTGGCCCTGAACCATCCCTGAAGGGCTGAGCCACCCGCCCTCCGCGCAGAGGAGGAGCGGCGGGCATGGGAAAAAGAAGAAAATCGAGGAAAAACTCCAGAAAAAGGCCGCAACCCCGTTCAAAGCGCGGATTATCTCTATTCGCAGCGCTCTGAGAGCGGCGGCATGCCCGGAGAGGCCTCAGAGCACGGAATGGAGATGGGGGCACCCTCACGGCGCTTGGTACGGCCCGGCGGGAGGGGCGGGAGGCGGAACGGCCGCTTAGGGGCAGCTGGACCGCCAGGGGGCGCCAAGAGCCGGGAATGGATGGGATAATGGAGGATAATGCATGGGATAATGGAATGGAATGGAATGGAATGGAATGGATGGGGTAATGGAATGGAATGGAATGGAATGGAATGGAATGGAATGGAATGGAATGGAATGGAATGGAATGGATGGGATAATGGAGGATAATGCATGGGATAATGGAATGGAATGGAATGGAATGGAATGGATGGGATAATGGAGGATAATGCATGGGATAATGAGGGATAATGGGATATAATGGGATAATGGAATGGAATGGATGGGATGATGGAATAAATAATTAATTAATATTAATTAATTTAATATTTAATATTAATTAGTAATAATTAATAATTCATTAACATAATAAATAATATAAATAGATAATAATTAATTCTATAATATTGCCTGAATTAAAATGATTCTGGGCTGTTTTTTGGGTTTTTTTTTTTCATTTCCCCATGGCTGCTCATTACAAAACTCCTGTTCCAAACCAGTAGAAAAAAGTGGAATAGTAGAAGATGTTTGGGGCGGCCCTCAGGCTGATGTTACATTTTACTTTGGTGCATCATCATCATCATTGTGCCTGGCTTCCCACTGAAGGAAGAAGTTAATCACCAAATTTCTCCCCAGAGAACCACTTTATTATCAATTTCTATAGAAACATAATCCTAGCTCTAAACCTCTCTTTTCCCCAGAAAACAAACTCTCATCTCGCTGGCCATTCTCCTGCTCTTCCCCAAGGATCCTGCTAGGAAAGGACACAGCCTAAGCCGTGGTTATTTCCCTGGCTGGATTAACTGCAAAATACACAGAGCCAGTGCAATTTCCCTCAAGAGAAAAGGACTGGATTTCACAAGAATTCGATGACTTGAAGGCTTTGAAAATAAATCTTTTTTCTGCCACATGCTCAGGCAAGCTCTGGTGGGTGAGGATTGCCAAGAGTAACTCACTGCAGACCTTTCTTATGTAAATAAAAGTGAAAACAGCGCACGAGTGCAAAGAGCCAGCGTGGAGTAAGAGAAACCCACTGAACCCAGTGCCCTCGTTTCTCTCCCAGTTGCATAAAAGGACTTGCTCCTTCTTGCTCTGGTTCCTGGTGTTGTTGCTGAGGTTGGCTTCACCTTGCTGGGATCCCTTCCACGCCCTGCTCTGCATCTCACATCTCCTCTGTGCTTTTTTGCACATTTTCTCCTTCCTTGCTCCAGCCTGTTGCAATCCAGCCCGGTGGGGAAGAGCATTCCCATGCTTTTGGTGCCTCAGTGAGACCTTTGGAGTTCCCAAACTCTTCTCCCCTTTCCCTGAAGTTCTGCAGACCTTTCTGAGGCCTTGGTGATCTGGAAACCCCCACACAGTAACACGGTTTGTGAATTCAAGGTGGTTTTCCAGGCTGGTTTTCCAGGTTTAGCCTGGGCGAAGGGGATCACTCTGAGCAAAAACCACACCAATTTGCCCCATTTCAGTTGTGCCAGTACGGTAAAGGAGGTGGCAGTGCTATGACATTCCCAGTATTTGATAACTTACTGTGGAATGCAGGTCCTTGTGTCTGCCCTTCTTGTACCAGCATTGTGGGAGGAATGGAGATTGAAGAAAAAAACAATCCTTTTCTAAGGGTGTTCATCTTTTCCAAAAAAGATCTTAATGAGACAGCTCCTAATTATTCATATATTTATATATAAATATATATATATTCATATATTTATATGGCAAATCCCCCAAAGATAATTGTTTTATTATTTTGTAATCTGAGGGAATGAAGGCAGATTTTTCTCGCCTTTCTACCCTCATTCTTTCAAAATACCTCGTGTTAGTCAAAAGCAACCTTACCATTTCTCCATTCCAGCCTCTTCTATATTCATATCTATCCAACATTAGTAATTAAATTTCATTAGGTTCTTTCTGCATCCCAATGAGCTTTATCCCTGCTGAGGGAAAGCTGCCCCTGCCCTGCCCATGGTGCTTGGCAGAGGTTCTGCAGTGTCAGCTGGCCCTGAGCAGCCCAGGGGAGTTCCTGCTGCTGTTTGTGCCTCAGATGGGAGCTGGAGATTCCCCTGTGCTGGGAAACCCCTGGGGCTGAGCACCCTCAAAGACCTTTACTCCTCTTGCTGAGCAACAGAATAAACACAGGGGTTTATAATCCCATCATTCTCTTCTGGTGCCTTGTGCTGGTTTTATTTTAAAGGAAAGGGAAAATCTGCCTCTGCCACTCTGCCCTTCCTCACCTGGCTTCTTGACATCAACAGGGAATATTCCAGTCTCCAAAATATTAAACCCTGTATTTCCCTTACTCCACAATTCACCTGGTTCAATAAATAATCCTAAAGGTGGAACATCTCCATTTTCCAAGAGCTTTTTGTGGCCTGTACTGGGGATCTCTCTATGGGGCCTGAAGCTGCAGCATCATTCCTGCCTTTTTTTAACTTCTGAGCTCCATCTTCCATGAAAACTGCTCCCACACTGCCTGAAGCAAGGCCTGCAGTCACACACATGCAGGTAGAAATAATTCCCTTTCTAAGAGCAGCACTGGCAGTGCCAGTTTCAAAAATCACTTTGTATTCCTTGAAAAATCCAGCTAAGGAGGAGCAGTGTTCCCTGCACAACCATCACCATGCTGGATCCCCTCACCTGAGAGCACAACAGATATTTTTGCTCCTGAATCTGAAGGTCCTAAACTCTCAGAGGTCTCTCATTAATATGTCCTGTCTGTGGTGTTACTCAGTGGTTTTTAACCTGTACAAATCTTCCTTTTTCTTCTTTTATCTCTTGTTTTGTTTTGTTGGGGTTTTTTTTTCTGTCCTTTGGATGGGGAAGGTGTTGGCAGACCCCCAAAAGTCTGGAAGAAGATTTTTCCTCGCGGCCACATCAGAGGAGCTCCTTTGTGCTTCACCCCCCAGAGCAGCAAACACAAACCTCATTTTCCCAGGGGCAGCGCTCAGCACTCACAGACCTGAAACCAAACCCTGCCCAGGAGAGGCCTGAGCTGAAATCAGGATTTCAGGAGTTTTATCTGATGAAGCAGCAGAAGCAGGAACAGGAGGAACCAGGACCTGGCCCAGAGGGGATTGAGTTCAGCACAGCCCCAGTGCCTCGTGCCTGACTAATGGCACAGGCAGGCAGAGCTTGGATATTTTCTTGTGGCTCTGAGGGACACAGTGGGAGCCAAATGCACTCAGCTCACAGCAATCCACTGCTTAAAGTCCAAACTCATCCCTTTGGGGTTTGACAGAACGGATTTGTGGTACATTTTCCATATCTATTAGAGCTTTCAGCAGAAAATACTCCAGAGTTACAGAGTTGTTCCACCTTCCCTCTGCCCTGGCATGAAACAGCAGCGCTCCTTAATAATGTAAAGAACATTAAAAATCTCCAGTTTATCTGCTAATTTTTTTTGGAAATGTAGAGAGCAGGAATTAATAGCACACAGTAACTGTGGGCAGGGTGATGATAATAACCAGCACCTCCTCTCTGAGCACAGGGACAGAGCTGGGCTGTGTCATCCAGCAGGAATTCACCCAAATTGGCACAACCAGCAGCTGGGGCTCAGGGCTCTGTCACCACCTTCACCTCCTAAACCTCTTGGCAGGAATTCCAGGTGCTGACCTCAGCATCAGCTTGGAATTTCAGGGGAATTTAGATATGAATTTCTGTGAAACTCTAGAAAGGTAATACAGTATAATGCAAAATAATAGGAAATTCTATGTTCACACAGTGGAGACTTTGCAGCATGCCAGCACAGGAAAAAGAAATGTTTATTTTTGTGAGATAAGCGTAAGCAAATGCCCAAACCCAACATTGTTGCTGCCTTTTCTTTGACAAACTGAACAGCTTTATCTTCACACTGCTCCTGTCATCTTGGAGAGGAGTAATCCAGAATGTGAGATAAGAAGAGGAGTTTAGTGTTAAAAGCTGGTATTTGAGTAAAAATAGAATAAAGGTTTCTTTTGCCTTCATTCCACGGTGAATGTGAATAATTTGGAGATCTCAGTTTTCAAAGCCATTTCAGTTTCTCTTCTGGAGAATGGGAATCACTGTTCTTTCCCATCAATATTTACAAAACTTGAAGATCCTCAGCTGGAAAGAGAATTAAAAGACTTAACACAGAATTAAAAGCATATAAACAAACATGAGCAAACCCTGCAATAACAACCAGAGGCCGCAAGTTGCAATCAATTTGCCTTCCCCACATTGTGAAATGCCTTCCCTGTTAATGTTCTCATTCTCCTGTGGCACTTCAGCATTTTGCATTCATTTAGAAAACTCAGAGATTTCACAAAAATTCTAAAGCCAAATTAGCAAAAAGCTTTTCCCCAGCAGGAGAAAGAGCAGAGGTCAGGAGACAGGAATTGTGTAATATGTCACAGAGCAAACCTCCTGGAGTCACGGGCATTAGGGATGGAAATCCACTCCCAACACCAAGCTGTTTCCCACCAAGGAGTTATTTTGGTGATATTTGATGTATTTGAAGTGAACTACACAGAAATCACTCAGGTGGCTTTGCATGAGCTCCAAGGTTTTGATCTGGAAGTTCAGGTGTTGTTTTTAATGAGCTTCCCAAGCACACCTCAGTGCCTTAAATCCAGAGGAGGATCTGAGTTTAATGGGATTTCCAGGCTTTATTCAAATATGTTACAATTGTTTCCCAAAAGATAGGAATAGAAATTGAATCAGCTCAGAAAACACCTCTAAAATCATTCCTAATTAAATATTTAGTTGTGTGCACAAGCTGTGTGTACCTGCACAGCAGATCTTCCACAGAAGCATCCCCCTGGCACATGGTTTTTCAAGGAATATTCTCTCCTGACATCCAAGACAGCAGAAATCAAACCAAGAGCAAAAGAGAAGCATAGAAAAATCAGCTCTTTAGTTTTGATCTTCAACTCTTTCCTGGTCTTTGACCTAAAAATCCTCCTTGCCATAGTGGAGAAGTGAAAAGGGTTTTTTCATTTTCCACTCACAGCTGTCATTTGCTGTTCTATTGGAAAATATTGGGAATTCTTGTGGGTGGACATCTGTGGGACAGCAGTGACCCCTTTCAGGTGCCTCAGTGCAGGGATACACCCAAAATTCAGCTCAAGAACACTGACCTGGTCTTGCTTTTCTCTTGAGATAACCTTGATATGTTCTAAAGGTCACAAATGGAAATGAAAGCTTGGGTTTGAGATCTCTTAGGAAGGGGGGAAGAAGGGGAGGCTGCAGACGCCCTTGGACGTGCACTGGAGCGGGAATTGAGGAATCTGCCCCAGCTCCAAGCTCCCAGCACACCAACTTCCCTGCCACAGGGGTTAAATACAGCCTTTTCCATTCTGTCATTCAAAAACATCTTCAGAGAGAGAAGATTTCATATTAACAGGGTGGTTTCCTCCCCGTGGCTGTGAAGAACATGGGAAAATTGACCTGTGCCCAGTTTAGTCTTGACTTGCCTGTTCCAGACTCTTCAAAGACATCGTTTCACAGGCACGAAGCTGTGACCCTTCAAATGAGTTCATTTTCAGCCCTTAAGTGCACAAATTGTCTGGTTTTTCAGAACTTATCCCTGAATGGAGCCTGAACTGCTGACAGGGACAGTGAGATGTGTTTCAGTAGCACTGCTTCAAAGCAAACAAATCTCAGAATGTCAATTTGTGCTGTTCCACCCACCCAAAAAAAAAATAAAAATGCAAACCTTTGAACCAGCTTTAACTTAAAGCCTGCCTGGGAAGCGCTCTGACCTTGTGGCCCACAGAGGATGATCCCACTGCAGAAAATCACTTGGGATGGATGTACAAAACTCCCAGAAAAATTCTGCAGTGTACATTTTCTTTTCTCTCTTCTGATCACTGCTGCCCTGGTTGTTTTATTTTTATTAATTTGACTTTGAGACATGTGCCTTTATGTGTGAAATCCATCTTCTGGTGGTGCTCTGTCCAGCACAGCCATTGTCTGCACACTCTGCTTCACATAAACCCTCACATAAAGGGGGTTAGAGCCGAGTCACAAAAGGCACTTGGGAAAGAGGAGAAAAGGTAGCGTGGGGTGCAAGAAAATCAAATCCCCATTGTAGCCAAACTGTCTTTCCTGGAAATCCTCTGGATTACAGCTCTGTCTTGCAGCAGGATCCAATTTATTATTTCCCTTCCCTTCCCTTCCCTTCCCTTCCCTTCCCTTCCCTTCCCTTCCCTTCCCTTCCCTTCCCTTCTTTACCTGTTCTTGCTCCTCTCCTGCCTTCTCTTTGCATTCTTTGAGCATTTCTGTGCAGTTTCTGTCTAAAACACGGGATTCAATCATTTTTGTCCGGATTTAATGGCTAACAACCACCCACAGTGAAGGGAATTTTGCCTTCTCCGCTGATGCCCACATGACCTTTTCTGGTTACTCAGCCAGAGAGGGTAAGGGCAGTTCACACCCCACAGCTTCTTGTTCCTCAACTCCATGCACTTTTCTTGTTCCGTCTTTTTAAAGTGCAAATGCTGCTGGAAAACTGAAGTACTCTGCCACCTGCGCTCTGCGGGGTGAGCACCGCGGGTGCTCGGACTCTAAAACACGAATTAAAAAAAGAAAAGAGCTACGAGACCGCTCGCACGAACGCCAGGCGAGGAGCGGAGCCACTGCCTGCGGTGTGGCCACCGCTGGGTCCCTTCCTCCTGGGAACGGGGCAGTGCATCCCCGCATCCCCGCGATCCCATCCCCGCATCCCCGCATCCCCGCATCCCCGCATCCCCGCGGGT